CCTGTGTGGGCTGTGTGAGCCTTGATTGAGCCTTGATTGCTATTGGTGTCACTGGCAGGAATTGGCCTCCATGCCAATTGGATGTGAGGACCAGCTGCATTTACAATGGAAGAGCTGCTATGCAGGAGATACCCCTATGAACAAGACTTGCTTCAGTGGGACTTTGGTACTCACTGAGTCTACCCTTTGAGTGTGTTGCTTGTGAATATGTAGAGTTGTAATCTGGTATGGTCTAAAGCTAACCACTGGGTGCACTGGGTCTGGGGAAGCTCAGGAGGTGCAAAGTGAGCCACTGCTTGGGAACACCTGACAGGAGCTACAGAGAGATCTGCATATGGCTGCTACATATATTGGGCTAGGAAGTGCCCAGGCGAGGCCAATCTATGAAGTTAGGCAGGCTGGTGATAGTGCCAGGTTTTGGGCCTTTTATTGACAGGTTTGGGGCACACTGACTCTAGCTACTGCTTATTTAAGGGATTTTAAAGTCTGAAGCCTGAGCCGGGACAGGCCATTCATATGGAAAAGCAGCTGCAAATGATTTGTGTGGGGCTGCAGCTTGGATGGGGCTGGGTCTCAGAGAATCACCAGGGCAGAATAAACAGTGTGGGCCATGCTGATGGAAACTCAGATATGGCTGCCAGTGAGCTCTGTGACAAGGGAGGCCTCAGCACAGGAACAGTGACCACTGTGAGCACCCCTGACTGGGAGAAAGCTGCCCTTAAGTTCCTGCCCTAATGCTAGACAATCCAATTCCTCCCCATGTATCCCTGGATTCCCCCAAAGTTGCTGCCCAGTAGTGCTGGAGCTCAGAGGAAGCAGGACCATGTAAGTTTGTGTGTGGACCCTTTAAGAGGAATACATGGGATTCTAGCAGCCTCTGTGTCCTTCAGCCACAATCCCCACTGGTCTTTACAGCCTGCAGTTATGGGACTTCTCTTCCCAGTTCTGGAACCCTGAACTGGGAGTCTGGTGTGAGGCTGGTATCCCATACAGCCAGGATCTCTCTCTTGATTAAAGAAATGCCACACATGGGTTTTGGACCAGCCCATTCCACGCCTCCACCATTCCTACTAGTCTCAGTTTGCTTTCTTCTTTACTTGTTTAGTTGTAGGACTTCCATTCAGCTAGATTTCAGGCATTTCTGATTGATGTATTTTAGTTGTAATTTTGATGTGGTTCAGGGAGGCAGCGAGTTCCAGCATTTACCTACATCACCATCTTGGTTCTCCCCACTTTAAAACTTTTTAAAAGGGAGAACATAAATATGAATTTGGTGGTAGCAATAAAATGACCATTGTCCATCCCCAGCATTATTTTTAAATCTTCACCTGAGATTGTTTCTTTCATTAATTCTAGAAAGAGTGGAAATTGGGTGGGGCTGGGAGCAAGAGTTGGTGGGGGATAAAAGAGAGAGAGAAAGAGTATGTATCGATTGCCTCCCATATGCCCCCTAATCTTCCCCAGCCAGAGATACATCTGCAACCTGGCTATGTGCCTTGAAATCAAACTTGCAACCTTCAGTGCAATAGATTATGCTCTAACTACTGAGCACACTAGCTAGGGCTGACTGTCCCAAGCATTTTAAATCTAAATTTACTCTTTGACACAAGAACATGATGCTGTTGGCCTATTCAGAAGGACATGTAGTTTTTTTTTTGTTTGTTTCTTAATAGTTGGTGCTAAACTATTCATATATTTTCACCTGATTCACATTTTATTAACAGAAGTGAACTAAGCCAGCAAGTTCAATTGCACCTAGAACATGAGAAGTTAATTGACCCGCCAAAAGATTAACTTATTAGAGTTCCTGGCCTCATTAGCTCTGTAATCAACCAGCAGAGCTAGACTCTAAATGGAAATTGCCATCTGTCCAAGAAAAAAAAATGATGGAAAGAATGTATATGTTTTCAAATATAATTGACTCCATTATATATTTTCTTTTAGAAAAATAATTTGAAATATAATTCCTCTTGCTTATAAGAATAAGGGGTCTTAAGTATCAGAACAGGACATAGTCTTGAGTATAATTTACAAGTATATGAGTTTGCCAGAAAAAATGAAAATTTTACTGATATTTTGGTGTGTTAGATGCATAGGTGTCATTTACAACATGATCATTACTGGTCTCAAAATTATTAGTTTTAAATGACTTTTACAAAACTTATTTAATCTTTATAAAAAATTTTCTCTGCGATTTTTATAGTGGGCCATTTATTATTTACTTACTTCCAAGTGCTAAATTAGCTACTTTACATACTTTTCCTTGCTGAACCCTTTAGAAAATTTAGCAAGATGTGTACTGTTAGCCCTCTTCACTGAAGAGGTATCTCACCTCACCTCACCTCACCTCACCTCACCTCACCTCACCTCACCTCACCTCACCTGTAGGGGGCAGAGCTGGGTTTCCAAGCTTGTGATTCAAACCCTACTCTTAACCAATCCCCTTTATGCTGAGGATAACCTGCATGGTACTAAGGATAACTTGAAGCACTGCATAGCTTGAAGTTAAATGGAGTTCATAGTAAATTTAATTATTCCAGTTCTTGTCACTAAGCAAAGTGAAATAGCCTTTTAAATAACCTATTAGCTAGGATTTTTTTAAACCTGTCAAACCAGTTTTCACAGAATGGGCTCAATATTACTTCCTCAGTGCCAGTGGTACTATCTTCCAGGCTGAGTCTCCCAGTCTTTTTAACATTTAACATAAAAACAAAAAGATCTAAATAGCAACTAGTATAATTGCATCATTTTGCTTGTTTCCCCATATAAATTTGTTGTATACTACTTATGACATTATTAAAAATTTTAGTTACATTTTTAATAGATTAAAATTTAGATTTTGCAAATTGTTTCAGGTTATATATTAGCTGTTTTATGTGAACCCTGAAGATAGATTCAAAACTATTATTCAAAACTATTCAAAACATTGTTATCAGCCTTTTCCAGTCTTGCCAGTGGTTTACAGTGATACATTAACATGATCAAAGTCAGTATCTAATGTCTTTGAAGAGGAATGCTAAGCTACTTGTCATCATATTTTGCTTTTCAGTGAAATTTTATGCCTCTACCCAATCAATATCTTTAAGCTCTAGACTCTATCAAATGTAAGAGGAAGTTTTATAAATATAGAGATTTAATAGAGTTAAAATTTAGGATATTAGAAAATGTGACTGTTTCTGGATTTAATAAATCTTTGGATCAAACAAAGATTAATTAAAAACAGGTCAGAATTTGCATCTCATCAAACCTAAAGTTAAAATTTGAGGAGTTTGCTTGTAACTTAGATGCTACAAAAGTTATTTAGGAAGTCATATGAGCTCAGCTGGTGTGGTTCAGTGACTGAGCATTGACTCATAAACCAAGAGGTCATCATTTCGATTCCTGTTCGGGACACATGTCCAGGTTGCTGGCTTGATCCTCAGTAAGGGGCATTCAGAAGGCAGCCAATCGATGTTTCTTTCTCATAGATCTTTCTATTGTTCTATTCCCATCCCTTCCTCTCTCTCTCTCATATCAGTACAAAAAACAACTTAAAAAAAAAAAAAAAAAAAAAAAAAAAAAAGGAAAAGAGAGTCATACGAGCCCTAGCTAGGTGGTTCAGTTGGTTGGTTTTAGTGTCATCAAAAGGTTACGGGGTTCAATTCCTAGAAGGGGCACATACCTAGGTTGCAGATTCCATCCCCTGTTGGGGTGCATACAGAAGGCAACTGATGGATGTTTCTCTCTCTCTCTCTCTCTCTCTCTCTCTCTTCCCCAAGTCCATAAAAAAACATATCCTCAGGTGAGCATTAAAAAACAATTTAAAAGTCATATGAAAATCCAATGGATAAATGAAGGAATTTGACACATTGTAATTGTATTACAGCTACCCAGTGAAAACTGCACAGCCAGCTTCTTCACTGCTGACCCTTCCCCACTGGAAGGCTGTGACTTCCTGACTTGGGAATCAGAGCTTGTATTGAGCCTCTCCCACCTTCTCTCCCATCTGTGTTAGATGCCGCTCCTTGAGTTCCCACTGCACCTTGTAGGTCTTTGTGGCTGTGTTGTAATTGAAATATACCTACTCTCTATTTTAAGCTCTTTGAGTACAAGGACACTGGAATACAAAGATGAAAAGACAATCCTTGTACTCAAGGTAAATTGCCATGATGCTGTTTGAGTTCTAAAATCATTGACCTCTAAAACTTTTCTGTTTAAGAAAACCAGTCCTCACCCCTATAGCTGTGAGGTCTTGGTTTATTTAGCACCTTATCAATTAGAAATCATTGTAGTGCACTGCATAAGGGATTCAGTTCTGATTCCTGACTGCCCTTCCCTAGCTAGGTGATGTTGGGCAGCATGCTGAAATAATTTCCACAGGTTTTAGTCTTGAATCTTTTAAGTGAAGGATTTGACTAGATGATCTCCATGTTTCAATAAAGCTGCAAAGCTCTGTAGCTTAAAGGCAAATTAGAGCAGCAGAAGACTAATTGGTGGACAGAGCTGAGTGTCTTCCCACCAACACTGAGTATGTTTTCTGATTATTTGTACATCTCTACAGTTCCCTGCAGACTTATTGTATGATATGGGGTAAAACAAATACTAAAGTAATGAAATCTCAAATATTACATTATGTTCAGTATAATTTGTGTTAGTTATATTTTGCTGTGTTCTCATTATTTGAAATTGATTATTCACGTGTGGTTGGTATATAGGATAATTATGATATAATTTTAAATTAATTAAGATCCTGTTTCCTCATCATCCTGGTTAATAGAGTGTTATGGAAAGTTATATCTTAAAAAATATTTGAAATATAAAAATATACTCAAAAAAGATAATTTGAAGTATGTTTTAATGTTGGTCAATGTATTTTATTTTGCTTCAAGAAAGTTTAATAAGGAATATTAAGTAAATGCAAAACAATGGTAACAGTTTAAACTTTATCTTTTGGATACTTTTCTCCATAACTGAGGATTCTGATTTTTAATGTTTGTTCTTTTGATCTTATATCTTTTCAGTGCATTTAGAAACTAGTTTTGAGGAGGTAGAAAACCATCTGCTGAATCTGGAGGATTTATGTGCACAGTGTGAATTAGAAAGATGCAAACACATGCAGTCCCAACAACTGGAGAACTACAAGAAAAATAAGAGGTGAGTTTGAAAAATAGACACACTATTAATTTTCAATCTCAATTTTTCACAGTACTTTACATGCTATTCTTTATAAGTTTGGACTGCTAAAAAATGTTTCAAATGTAAATCTTATTAATAAGCTTTCCAAAAGGGATATGTATATTTTTTGTACCATTATCTTTTGCCATTTTATGAAGATGAATTCTACAAAAGAGTGAAAAATTGAGGGGAGCAGAATAGTGGACAAAGCTTTTTAAGAAATTGTTGCCTTGACTTTGTTTTACCCAAGTGGCTCAACTTTTCTTTATTTTCCCCCTTTTTCTTTATTTTCTCCTTTTTTTATTACCAGATCAGGAGGAAAGGAATCTGAACTCAGGCTGTGGATAGGAGCTAGATGGAGTTGAATCTCAATCTTATCACATACTGGCTGTGAGACCTTAGGCAAATTATTTAATCTCTTTTAGCTTCATTATTTCCAGTTTATAATAGTGAGGAAAATAATGTACCTGCCTCACAGAGCTGTTGTGGGGATTAAATGAGATGATTGTTATCAAATGCAATAAGTGCTTTGTAAGTGAAAGTTGTTATAGGGATTATTATCACTAGGCTGACCTGAACAGGAAAGGGGAGAGAGGTCTAAGGGTAATAGCCTGCTGAGCTAACTGTAACATGCCAAATTGTACAGTGACATTGTGGGAAGAGTTGAAGGTGCAGAATGGGTCCTCTGAAGTCCGTGGGGAGATCCACAGTAGCTGGTGAGGGTGCCTGAGGTTGTCATCTGGGCAGAGCAGGAAGTAGAGGAGGGTTAATAGATGAAAGAAAACAAAAGCCATGAGATTGGAGTCCTGCTGAGGCTGCAGAGCAGATTTGGTGGGAGTGGGAGAGGACAGGTTTGGCAGAGTATACTTTTGATTTTAAGATGATTGGTAGATTGAGTAATTTTGGATCTAGAGTGTGGCAGTAGGAAGAATGGATTGCTGGCAGGAAGTGCTGGTTACGGGCATATAAGAGGTTAAAAAAAAAAAGTGAAATTAAGCCCTGGCCATGTGACTCAGTTGGTTGGAGTGTTGTCCTTGCACCTAAGGTTGAAAGTTCAATTTCCAGTCAGGCACATTCCTAGGTGTGGGTTTGATCCCCGGTCGAGTGGTATGGGAGGCAACCAATCGATGTTTCTGTCTCATATTTCTCCCTTCCTCCCTTCCTTCAGACCTTTCTCTCTCCCTCTATCCTCCTTTTCCCCTTCTCTTCCTCTCTCTCTTTCCCTCTTTCTTTAAAATCAAAGCCAAAACTGGTTTGGCTCAGTGGATAGAGGGTTGGCCTGTGGACTGAAGGGTCCAGGTTCGATTTTGGTCAAGGGCATGTGCCTTGGTTGTGGGTACATCCCCAGTGGGGAGTGTGCAGGAGGCAGCTGATGGATGATTCTTATGGATGTTTCTAACTCTATACCTCTCTCTTCTTCTCTGTAAAAAAATCAATAAAATATATTTAATAAAATAAAATAAAATAGAAAAACATATCTTTGGGTGAGAATTAAAAACATTAAAAATGTTTTAAAGTGAAGCTAAAATGTAGGTATTGTGGATTATCACAGTGATAAAGTACCAAGGGGTAGAGATGAAAACTAAATATTCTGAAATTCTTAGGTCCATGTGTTCCTAGGGCTGAGTCTTACTAGTAAATGTTAATGAGTCATAAGAATCACCTGGAAAGAATGTTTAAAATGCAGATTCTTGAAATAGTTGGTTTTGCTCAGTGAATAGAGCATCAGCCTGTGGACTGACGGGTCCTAGATTCACTTCTGGTTAAAGGCATGTGGGCTCGGGTTGCAGGGTTGCAGGCTCCATCCCCAGTGGTGGGCAAGCAGGAGGCAGCCGATCAATGATTCTCATCATTGATATTTCTATCTCTCTCTCCCTCTCTCTTCTTCTCAGAAATCAATAAAAACATATTAAAAATAAAATAATAATATAATATAAAATGTAGATTCATCATTGGGGAGTTAATTCTTATAGCATCTTTATAAAATAAATATCAATAAATCCCAAAGTATTTTACATTCAATTGTTTACTAAGATATTAGACATGTGACTTAAATTGAACTCATATTTTTATCCTGAAATGATTACTACTAATTTAATTCAAAAGTACTAACAGAATTATAATTGGTTTTGGTTACTGTGAAAAGTCCTCGCAGATCTAAGCCAGAATTTCTTCTCAGCCACTTGCTACCTGTAGGACCTTTTGCAAATGACCTATCTTTGGCTTTTTTATCTGTAAAATAGAAGTAATGATACTGTCTTAGAGGATTATGGAAGATAGGAGACAAGTGTGGTGTTTTTTTTTTAAAGGCAAAATAAAAGCAGGCCCATTATATCACAGAATCAATGGTAATACTTAATTCTAATTAATTTGCTTTCTAAACACAAATAGTAGAAATACTGAATATGAAACATTGCTTAATAACATTTATAAACTATAATCTTTATGAAATGCTTAACTTATTTTATTCACCATGTAAGAGGATGAAGTATATTTCTTCTGTTTAAAATATGTATTTATTGATTTTAGAGAGACAGGAAGTGAGAGGGAGAGAGAGAAAAAAAAATGGATCAGAAAGAGAATCATTAACCAGCTGCTTCCTGTATACCCTCCACCAGGGATCAAGCCTGCAACCTAGGCATATGATCTGATAGGAAATCGAACCGGTGACTTCTTGGTTCATGGGATGATGTTCAACCAACTGAGCCACATCGGCCAGGGTTGAAATATCTTTTTCAAAGTTACCTTTTGGAAGAAATTTATTCAGTTAAGCTGCATACATATATGAATACATATATTAGGCTAATTAATAATTGGTTGCAGTAGAAATAATTTGAGTTGACAACATTGAGAAAGAGCAGTTTTATTCAGTCAAATGTAGATCAAAGAGTATCTTTTAAGTAGTAAATCATGTACAACATTTACTATTCAAAGATGTCTTTATTTTTTAATTAATCTTTATTGTTCATATTTCAAAGATGTCTTATTTACATTTTTAAAATATATTTTTATTGACTTTTTACAGAGAAGGAGGGAGAGGGATAGAGAGTTAGAAACATTGATGAGCAACATCACTCAGCTGCCTCCTGCATGCCCCCTACTGGGGATCGAGCCTGCAACCAAGGAACATGCCCTTGACTGGAATTGAACCTGGGACCTTTCAATTCACGGCCCAATGCTCTATCCACTGAGCCAAACCAGTCAGGGCTTATTTATAAATTAAGCTCTTTCTTATTTACTTCTACTCAATCTTTAGGTATCAAAACTGGGAATATGGTGAAGGTTAGTGCAATGACACCAAATTAGTTTTGCTTGATACAGAATTTCACTATCTTCACTGAAACCCTAAAATGATAATAAGTAACTTTTTAAAAGTTATAATTCACAAGAACAAAAAGACCAGAAAAGGCAATGCGATCCACATTTTGGAGCAGAGAAGGTAGATGATGAGTGGAAGCTGACTTAGCAGAGCCAAGGAAACTGAAGGCTGAGCTGAGGCTCAGGTACCTGCACAGGGGATGAAGCATGTTGATGTGTTCCTCAGAACTCCAGAAAGGCTCAGTATTTGAAGGCACTATGAGCCACAGAAGGTAAAAGGTGTTGAAAGTACATATATGGAGAAGTTAGACCTCTTGATCTTTTGCTCAGCCACATGATTACCTGAACCCTTGCTCATTAGGTGATGTTAAGTAACACCCAAGAGGTTCCAGATTTGAGGAGTCTGGACACAATTTTAGGGAAGGTTGAGCTAAAAACCTTTTTTATTATATTTTATATAATAAAAGCCTAGGTGTGTGATACCTTTGCATGACATCATCACAAGATGGATGTCTAAGATGGCCACCCTCAAGTCGTCAAAAGATGGCTGACATAAGATGGCCAGCAGCGGAGGGCAGTTGTGGGTGATCAAGCCAGCAGGAGGGGGCATTTGGGTGCGACCAGGCCGGGAGGGGAGGGCAGTTGAGGGTGAGATCAGGCCTGCAGGGGAGGGCAATTGGCAAGATCAGGCTGACAGGGGAGGGCAGTTGGGTATGACCAGGCCAGCAGGGGAAGGAAATTGGAGAGGAAGGCAGTTGGGGGCAAGATCAAGCAGGCAGGGGAGGGCAATTTGGGGCAAGATCAGGCTGGCAGTGGAGGGCATTTGGGGGCGACCAGGCTGGCAGGGGAGGGCAGTTGGGAGCCATCAGGCTGGCAGGGGAGGGCAGTTAGGGACCATCAGGCCACCAGGGGAGGTTAGTTGGGAGAGAGATCAGACCGGCAGGGAAGGGCAGTTGGAGGTGATCAGGCTGGCAGGGGAGTGGTTAGGGTGATCAGACTGGCAGGCAGAAGTGGTTAGGGGCCATCAGGCAGTTAGGAACCAGCAGTACCGGATTGTGAGAGGAATGTCTGACTGCTGAGGGATCAGGCCTAAACCAGATGTCCGGGCTGACGGACACTGACCTTCCATGCATGAATTTCATGCACTGGACCTCTAGTATTGAAAATAAAAGAATTAACTGACAGTCTACATATTAAACTGTAAGGCTCTTTAGGCCTCTTTTATTCTGGCAATTCTGGCAGCCAAACTTAAATTTTCTATGCAAATATTAGAGGCCTTATCTGAGAAACTGACCAGCATCAGAGAAAAACCTGTATATAAGGACATTTGGGTAAATGAAGCAGCTGGGTCTGCATCTTAACATCCTCTAATGATGAGCCCTACACCTCTGCACAGGATTTTTACAATCAACTTTTTGGTGCCTCATTCTCAAATAGAATGGACAGCTAATTTATTAAAGGGATAATATAGAAAAATTGTTTAGAATGGAAGGATATGAGTTTGAAAGGACCTACTAAGTACTTGGAAAAATTAGTGGGTAAAGAGCCATCGTTAATACCTAATTTTATAAATTTACTTATTTAGAAATAAAGATTTTTTTAAAAAAGCCTTTATTAAGGTCTTATATTAATGATTAAAAATCAAAAGAACTTCAACTTTT